ACACTAAACCCTGCACCCTAAACCCTGCACCCTAAACCTAAACCCTAAACCCTACACCCTGAACCGTAAAACCAAAGCCCTCCACCCTTAACCCTAAACCCTAAAACCCTAAAACACTAAAACCCTAAAGCCCTAAAGCCCTAAAGCCCTAAACCCTAAACCCCTTGCCCTAAAGCCCTAAGCCCGAAACCCTAAACCCCAAACCTTAAACCCTCAACCAACGAGCTGAAACCCGAGAAACCTTGAACCTCAGACTCCTCCTCCCAACTTTAGAGTTTAGGTTTTAGGGTTTTGGGGGTTTGGGTTTAGGGTTCAAGAAGAGGTTTAGGTTTGTAAGGTTTTGGGGTTTAGGGTCGGGGTTTTAGGGTTTTAGAGTTTAGGGTTTTAGGGTTTAGGGGTTTAGGGTTTAGGGTCCAAGGAAACCCTTGAACCCCTAAACCTTGAAAATCCTAGGTTTCCCTAAACCCTAAGCACACTCCAAAAGCCCTAGGTTTATGGTTCAGGGTTTGGGTGGCGATGGCTACTCCTGGGATACCGAAGACATGCGGAGTAGGTGAGGGTGTAGGGTTGAGGGTTGAGGGCTTCGGATTAAGGGTTTAGGGTTTGGGGTTTAGGTCTCAGGGTCTAAGCCTAAACCCTAGCTGCTGAGCATTAAGCCTTGGATTTTTAACGCAAAACCCTTCATACTGAACCCTAACCGCCCGAACCCTTTGCAACCCTTGTGAAACCCCTGCAAGAGCTCTTTTGAGAACCGGAAATCTCCGAAACTTACTGACAGGTGCTCGACATGGATGCCCGGGAGGCGGAAGTCTCAGCTGGATTACTGTTTAAAAAATCGCTTCATTTATGCATTCATTTATCACATATTTTCGTGTTTACTCACTTATTTACTGGTGTTACTTAGGTATTCATTTGTGTGTCTGTATGTCTGTCTGTCTGGCTGTCTGTCTGCCTGTCTGCCTGTCTGGCTGTCTGTCTGTCTGTCTGTCTGTCTGTCTGTCTGTCGGTCTGTCGGTCNNTGGGTGGGTGGGTGTGTGTGTTGGTTGGGTGGGTGGGTGTGTGTGTTGGTTGGTTGTGTGTGTGTGTGTGTGTGTTGGTTGGTTGTGTGTGTGTGTGTGTTGGTTGTGTGCGTGTGTGTGTGCGTACTGTGCGTGTTGGTTGTGTGCGTGTGTGTGTGCGTACTGTGCGTGTTGGGTGTGTGTGTTTGTGCGTGTATGTGTGTGTGTGTGTTTTTGTTGTTGCTTGTGTGGTTTGGTTGTGTGTGTTGGTTGGTTGTTTTTTTTGTTTGTTTGGTTGATTTTGTTTGTTTTTTTTTGCCTTTTTGTTTGTTACTTGTTCCTGTATGTGTTTACCCAGGTAGTGACACTGGTATTATCTTATGTCCCAGTGTGTCTTTTATTCTTTTACCTAGATATGGAAATACGTGACAAAAACTCAACCCGACATCCCAGGTGGGCTACTGTCGCATCGTGGAGAAGATCTTGGTCCCCTCCGATCGCTCTGTTATTCTGCGCACGGCGAGGGCCTCAACAATCCTTCCGCAGAGAGGGTATACAACCTCTTTAACCCTAAACCCTAAAACCCTGAACCCTAAATTCTAAACCCAAACCCTAAACCCTAAATCTCTAAAGCCCTCAACCCTAAGACCCTAAACTCTAAAACCCTAGACCCAAACTCCTAAACCCTAAACCCAAACCCTACACCCTAAAACCCTAAACCCTAAAACTCTAAACCCTAAAACCCTAAACCCTAAAACCCTAGACCCTAAAACCCTAGACCCTAAACCCTAAAGCCCTAAAGCCCCTAACTCCCCTAACCCCTAAACCCTAGTTAAGCAGACCCTTATATTACGAGGTTCAGGGCCTTACGGTTCAGGCCTGCTGGTGCATTAGGGGCCAAGCTTCAGGGTGTAGGCCTGGCAGTTTCAGTTTAGGGTTTAGGGTTTAGGTTTTAGGGTTCAGGGCTTTGGGTTTAGGTTCTAGGGTTGAGGGTTTAGGGTTCAGGGTTAAGGGTGTAGGGCTTGCAGCAATTTTGCAGGTGCTTTTCAGATGTCTCATCCATGCAGGTGGTTTAGAGTAGCCGGTTGCAGTGTGGAATGTAATATAGGTTCCTGAATAATTACTGATGCCATTACTGATTTCCTTCTCATGCCAGGTTGCGCGTACAATGGTACTGCAACATACCCTAAACCCTATCTAATTTCTAAGCCCTCTACACCCTTGAATGCCTTATGACAACCCTGAGAGTGACCCCTTCAAGGAACCCTACTCAGTGTGCTCACGCCTCTACAGTCTACAGTCGATGGGTTCATGGCCGTGGCCAACACCCAAAGTCCTCCAAAGGATGACAGGCCTTGGGCATTGGTCATCACATCATTCTCGGGATCTGCACGCGGCCGAGTGGGATGCGAACGAGATCATGCATTTTTCTCAGAAGTGCAATGGCACGTGGCCAGAGCATGGAGTGAAGCCTTAAACCCTAAACCCTAAACCCTAAACCCTAAACCCTAAACTCTAAACTCTAAACCCTAAACCCGAAACTCTAAACTCTAAACCCTAAACCCTAAATCCTGGCGACTGGCGCCCGTCAGCATGTTTCGCTCATGCTCGGGTGCAGGAAGTCTTTCGGGTTACGGCAATCTCGGTACTGTCCGACCTTCTCGGAGGCCTCAACATAGGGGCCTTAATAATTCAAAGTCCTATTCTTATTATTAATATTATTTTTAATATTATTATTATTATTGTTATTGTTATTGTTATTATTATTATTATTATTATTTTTAATTCACAAGCCCTTCTAGTCTTCTCGGCCCACACATTAGGTAGGATGAAGGATCCCTTATATAAGGACTCCTGATTTGGGGCTATCTCACCCACCTTTTGAGGCCTCCGACCTTCTGGGCACTCTCCGAGTGGTTTTGGCAAGTCCTAGCATGCAGACGGCTGGACTGAGCATTTTTGCTTACATGGTTCCTCTTCACCCTTTGCAGTGAGTGCTTGTGCTGAAGCTTTCGTTCTTTAGTTAGTGCCAGCCCTTTTGACGAATGATGCAGTCCCTGTCGGCTGGCTGCGACATACCGTTTCATCTTGGCAGGGTGTCAAGCCTTAACCTGTAGGTTGTAGATCCTCAACCCAAAATCCCTAATTAAGCTCCGAACCTATTTAGTGTTTAGGGTTAATGCTTCAGGCCACAAGCCCTAAGTGCTTAAAACTGAAGACCTAAACCCAAGAGCCCTAAGATCCTTAAACCAAAAAACCCCTAAGCCCCTATCCTGGAACCTTACTGACCGTGCTCGCTTGTCTTCCACATCCTGACGTGTGACTTCGGATGGACCGAAGTTGAATCGGGTGTAGGATTTAGCTATTTAGTGTTAGGGGTTAGGGTTCAGTGGTTTCTGGAGTTAGCGTGTCAGGGTTTCAGATTCAAGGCGGAGGCAGAGTTGCAAGCCTTCGCATGATGCCCTGAACCCTGAACACCCGAAGTCGTCACGGCAAGCCCTGAACCCTGAAACCCGTAACCTCACACCCTGCACCTGAACCCAAAACCCTGAAACGCGGAAGCTCCGAAACCCGAAACCCCTGCCAACCGCAGAAACAGAACCCCGAACCGAAGCTCCATGCAAAAATCAAAACCCTAAGCCCAAACAGCGGGACACCCGAGCCTGCAGCCACGTGAAGACAAAACTGAAACCCCAACACCCCAACTTCTGCAAGCCTCAATGTCCTAAATCCTAACTGCAACCCTAAACCCTAAACCGTGGCTCTGGGTTCAGGGTTTAGGGTTTTAGGCGAAACCCGACTCGAATATCAAGCCCTGAAGCCCCCAGGCATATCAGCGGGGGGTTGGCGAAGCGGTGCCTCCCCTGTCGGAGCAGACAGAGGCGGCTGTTGCAGGGTGGGCAGGGTTCAGGCGGTCCACGAGAACAGCCAAACCCCTTATCAGTAGAGACCCTAAACCCTAAACCTTAAACCTTAAACCCTAATCCCTAAACCTTAAACCCTAAACCCCTAGACCCCTACACCGTGAACCTTCAACCCCAAACCCTAATCTCTAAACCCGAATCCCTTGATGTCATCCCTAGGAGCTCCTAATGTACCGTCAGCGGCTTTGGAAGGGATTTCAATCATAGGGACTCTTAGGGGGGTAGAGGGGAGGGTGGCAGGGGACAAAAACTTCCGTAAATCGGCCCGCTACTAGGTCCTTATTGCTGGCATTAAGGCCGCCTAACCCCCTAAGGGTCCTCATGATGCAACGAAGAGAGGCTTTAGCGTATAGGGGTTTCAGTGGTCTACAGGTTTCGGTTTGGGGCCTCATGGTTTAGGGTGGTTTAGGGTGGTTTAGGGTTTAGGGTTTAGAGTTGTTCATGCGCAGTAGAGAGGTCCTGCAAGGGTTCCTTTTGGCTTCCTGCTCAGTGTTCTATAAGGGGTTTAGAATGGTTTCAGGGTTTGGGTCGGAATAGCTAGTGATATAGTAGTGTCCCCATATAGTCCTCATGTGCTACACCACACTAAAATACCCCCAAACCCAGTTTAGACTTATTGAGGCTACTTCAGTAGCCATCTCCTCGAGTCCGGCAAGTCTTGGCGATCTTTGCATGCAGTGAAGTTACCGACTTGACGAGTGCCCTGCACCTCTTCGACGACTGCTTGATCCAGCCCTAAAGCCAGCTTAAGCCCTAAACCCTAAACCCTAAACCCTAAACCCTAAACCCTAAACCCAAAACCCTAAACCCGAAACCCGAAACCCGGAACCTTAAACC